TCGCGCGAGATATGGCGGGTCAAGCGAAGGGGGGAGTTTGGATTGTCCCTTGTACAGGCTCAGAAGCGGCGAGGTGTTGTTTGCAATGAGACACATGTCACTTTCGGGAGCTCGAACGGCCAGCTTACAGCCGCACTAACCCGGTTGCGGAAAACCATATCCAATCCATTACCTCCAAGGCTGGCATTCGTCAATGATATAATTTAATATCATCTGAATGGCGAGTTCTCAGATGCATTTGGGCATGATGCGTTTCTGTCCTATCAAGTGTGATTTCTCGATATTCTCCGATACGCCTTTCACGGCTCAGTGACTCATTCCGCTCCACGTACGAGGGCTACTATGTATTGAGAGATGCTTCACACTTACTCTCAGCCCGCATCTGACGAACTGTGAGAACTCTTGTTACGATATAAGTACCTTCATACTACAACGTAAATGTAGGCTCACTAGATCCCGGCTCCATTGATACTCCTCTGTGGATGCCTACGAGTACATATGCGTCATCGCGAATAGTCCTCGTTTCCGTCTCCAGAACCCCAAAGCCATGTTTAACCGTAAACTGTGCCAACTAGAGATCAGGTGGTGATTAAAATCTTGATTCGCTCGGCATACTTAGGAGACTTATGGTGCAGGAGTTAGACCTGCCCGTATACTCACCAAGCACTCCTTCCCTTTCCCCACCGAGCTTCATAGCACCATCACTAGTACTCCTATACCCAAATTCTCACTGTCTTCTTCCCAGTAATATTCCCACTATCAAACACTCGCGATAATTGCCCAGCCCCCCGCAAATACACCAACGTCCACACCCAACCGTATACCCATTACTAACGGCTCCCGAAGATGGGTTCAGGAAGCTCGAAGCCCAAGCAGAATGACGCGCGTGCATACAGTGATAGGACACAACAACCGTCACGATCGACAAACGGTAACAGGTACGACAAACGTGAGAGGGAAACGAGGGGCTCTGCGAAAGCACATTATCCTAGCCCCGAAGAGATGGAGGCGCGCCGGTCTCAAAGGGAGGGTTATTCCAGTCGACGAAACTGACCCCAGGAAGAGTGATATGAGCCCAGTGGTGCGGCTTGATTGAAGCCAGGTTTCGGGGCGTGTGCTTGAATCTGGGATGGCTTTGGAGTTTGGCGTTTAGTGTATATATTTTGAGGGTGCGAATCTAAATGTTTTCATGAATAATCTGGTTTCTTGTGGTCCTTGGACGTGTAGTCCATTTCGTCTCCACACCGACCGTGGTTTTTAGGCGCAGGATACGTAAGGATTCGATCCGAAAGAGCCTTGAAGTAAGTCTTGTCCTGATCATGGCTCCTCCCCTCCCCTCCGTTGACCGAAACTCTCGTTGCACAGCGCCATCTTGTCTTATCCTGCCGGTGTACTCGTCTCCGTGTCAAAACAATCCATCTTCCTCCTCTCAAGCTCCATCTCATACTCCCAAATTACCGTGTCCCAAGAAGCAAGTATTCGATTTGCACCAGCAATATCGCCTTTCTCCTCGAGCGCGTTCACCCTATCCGCTTTGAGTTCCTGAAGTTTCTCTAGGAGCGTAGCGGCCATCGTGCTCGTCAGGTATCGATTCCTCTCGTCCACGAATTGCCTCGACGGTCTCGCTTCATCATCGAGTCTGCCCTTAGACTCATTCCGGAGCTCGACTTCGAACTGGGTGGTAACTCCCAATAGGCTTTCGCGTAACATGGCGTATATCTCGAGCTGTAGGTTTAGGATCTCGTCTGTGCGCCCAGACTCTTCGTATTCACGCGACTTCCGCTCCATGATCTGGGTCACATAGTCAAGCTCCCTCGTGTGCGCCGTAAGCGTGTCTTGGGCCAAGATTGGAAATGCTCGAGCCATTGCAAGCTCGATCCTCTTCGGGAATTCGCTGCTTGCTCTGCGGTCTGGTGGAGCTTGCAAGTCAGACTTCGAAGGCCGCAGCTTCCATTCGTAATCCCGTGCTCGCAAACGGAGAAGCGAGTCCGCAGACCGACTCAATTGATGCATGATTTGTGAGTCCGGAACACTGAGAAGCTTCCAATAGACCTCGTTACGCGCATGTTGCTGGGATTTACGGATTTCGATCGTAGCCTTGATATCATTGGAGCCGATCCGCGTCGTCAGGGAGCCTACAAATCCACCTACGCTGAAGCCCGCAAGGGCCCGTTGATAGATTTGCTCATGTAGCCCCGGTAGGCGGAAGACAGAGATGGCCGCCCCAACGATACCCCCAAGTAACAAGCCGCCGTCAGCCGTAAACCGCCCGTATCGTTCAAATAGCCGGAAAGGGTGCATGTTGATGCCCTCCGTCTTGTAAACTGGTTCGATGATGTACTTGCGCTCCTGGTAACTCTCGTAAATCATGATACAGGACAAACTGATCAGTGACGTCGTATTGAAGCGCACAAAAGACCGAGCCACAAAAGGCTTCGCACAAACAAACCGGTAGCCTGCCCAGATTCCTGAAAAGAGAGGCGCTACCAGTAACTCATCAATTTTTTCGCTCGCATGTAATGGGTCAGGTTGACGTGGGACTAGAGGATGCTGCCTTCACCTGTCGCTGTATCAGTCTCTCAAAACGTCCAGTGGGAAGCAACACTTGCCAGCTGGAACAAAGAGTCGTATCATGGCAACACAAGCGACAAGAACGCGTGGAAGTGAGAGACAGAGAGACTGGCACGATAGTGTCCAGCTTGACGCGCTGCGCAGAATCTGAGGTGGCTGTCTGTGTAACATCCTAATTTGGAGAGGCGCGTCTGCATCCGAGACCTTGCATAAGAGGGCGTGTGCCACGGCTGAGTGTGCGATAATATGATTCCATGGTTGACACCGTCTGTCCGGTGTGATAGCATCGCCAAAAGCAAGTAAATTTGGGAGAAACAGACCGAGGCCGGCGCAGATTCATTACGATTTCTTGCTCTGTAATTTGATCATGCCGACAAAATCGTCTGACGGCAGGTGGTAGTTTACATATAGCTCCGACACTCTTAGGTGATTGCGGGCCGGTCTTTTCGTACGCACATCTTCTGTAGAAAAGGACTCGGAAACGCGGACGTGATCGTCCTTCTCATCACCTTCCGTTCTCGGTGTTATTGGCTTGTACCAAAGGTGCCTCCAATTCCTTCAACAAGCGCTCAAAAGCTTCCTGGTCTCCAGACTCGAATTTCTGGATGCGAAGCTCAAACTCTTTCAACAACCCTTCAGTCGCTTCGACATGTTGTCGTACATGCTCTATCATCTCTTCGAAAGTCTTGAATTCAGAAGTATTCTGCTTCATAGCTTCTTTCACCTGAGGATTGAATTTAGCTGCGTGTAATGTGGAGTGAACATTCGTCACATGGTCCCAGGCCTGACGAATCTTCAAAGTAGCCATATACGGAGCATGTGAGTCTAGAAGAGGATCATGTCTCAAGACGGGTGCCTTCGCCAGCAGATCTAGGAGCCGTGTCGAGCTTGCGATGCGATAGTCAATAGCGCTGACCTCTAGCCACACGTTCTCCACTACCGAATCAAGCATCACAACTTGCTTTTGTAGCTTGATTTTGACAGGGTCCTCGGAAGTCATGGCATAGAAGGCCCTCTCCTTTCGAGCTAGAATTCGGTGTATGTGCTGCAGCTCTAAGTCGTATTCTACTCTTAGCTCCTTCAGTCGATCAATATAGCTTTTCAATTCGGGGATACTGTCGCCGTCAGGTTTCCACTCGTATGTACTACTCACGCCGTCGTGATCGCAGCCGGCAAGGACATGTCGTTCGAAATGGATGCCGCGTGAGTATCCAGGTGGTGCCGCTGGAGCAGGCAGATCAGTTTGGGCATCCGAAATGGCGTGGCCCAGGCCCCTGAATGGTGTGTTCCAGAAAATGTGATACTTAACCTGCAAAACTGAGTACCAGCTCTTCCAACCCGTAATTGCCGGGTCCGTAATCAGAGCCATCACACCATGCTTGATCGAGGCGTTCATTGCTCTTTCATGTGCCTGCGTTTCCTGCGCCTTGGCTTCGCGATATCCCGGAAATTTCTGCATAATAAATGCCCCTGAAATGGAACCTGCCATCCACCCGACTTGCGAGGCCCCCAGGTAGCGTGTCCATCCACTCGCTCCTGGAAAAGGCCTTCTGAGACGCGCGAGTCCAACGCCAATGACAGCGCCTCCCAGAGCCCAGTCATCGAGACAGACCGTGGATGTCCATTCCACGAGCTTCGGAGGCTTGATGTCGGTGATCCCGTCTTTTCTCAGAACCACCTTTTTGACATCAGCGTGTGATGTCTCTAGTATGGCGTAATCCGCGGCTAGCACGGGCGTTAGGTACGCCACGGATCGTAAGAAGGTGCCCGGCCGGCTCCTGCCCAGTATAGAGAGCGCCCCTGTGACTACGACAGCGAACAAACATATCCTCTTAGGTGTCTCATGCGCATAGATGTTATGTAGCGGATATCCCGGTTCGAGATCGTGCTGTCCATCGCCTACGTCATATCGTGTTAGCTTGAGACATCTTCTGCTCTTTACCGAATACATACCTGAAGGCACGAGAAATCGAACCATGTCGACTTGTGTCTATGGCATTGGAGAGAGACAGCTGTAAATGATGCAGTTGCAATTTATAGCCTGCAATGGGCGGTGGCGCGTGAGGAGACTCTCGAGGGCGCGTCCATTCTCGTGCAAGGTTACACAGCATTAAGCCCTCGGAGTCGCAATCAGCGGCATGTGGAGATTGGAACCCGCCACAACGCTGCATACACGAGGCTTCACCTCGCATTAGCTCGATATATCATCCTGGTAGCATCGGTGTGCAATTGATAGATGAGAGAGGCTGTGGAGGTGCTGTTGCGGCGCTGTTGTAGTTGGGCGCATTGACCCCGCGCCAAAGTTCAGGTGAGATGCGTGACTCAACCAAGAAATCTTCGCTTACCACAGATCACCATCATTCATAAACAATTAAACCCTAGGATATAAATTGAATGGCGAACGATATCCATCATCAATCAGAACATTCGGTCTTATGGTCTAGTGGTAGTAAGTCACCTCAACATCATTCCTTCCGCATCATCATCTAATACCCTATCAGTGATTCTCGCTTAGGGTTCCTAAGCACGCTTGCGAGAGGCCCCGCGTTCGAATCGCGGTAAGACCCGAACTTGATTCCTTTTTTGGCCGTTCAACGACCTGGACAGCGGCTCTTCTTTTTGCCAGGACTTACGTAATAGTTAGTGTAGAGAGATGATCAAGCAACCTATATGTATTCCACTCCGATTCTATATGCTGAAAATGTAACTACTTCGTCTGTATTATCACTCCGCGAGACATGTTGATACAAACTTTATCTTTGCTCTCACTAGCGATAGTTACATCCCCCATCACCACTGGAACCCAACTACAACGGCCAAATTCACAAATTCTGTTTCTTCTTCACTCTCTAGGTAGCTGCAAAACACCGACCACTCTCCCGCTTCACACTCTACGCAGCACTCACAGCCCCCAGCACAACCGACTAGCCCATTCCCAATCCTCTACCCGACAATCTACCAAACCCATCAAACCCATGGGCCAATGTCCCTTCCCCTATGAACATCCAAACTCCTATGTCCCTATCCGACTCTTCATACATGGAATCACTCTTCCAACAGTACACCCCACGCCCTTTACTCGCGCATCCACCCATAACATCAGCATGCGTATACATCCATCTCACAATCTTCATACTCCAATCTCACAACAGCACATCTATACCTCCATCTCACAACCCAGCATACTCAAACTGAACAGCATTATTGCCACTATACCCTCATAACACATCAAAAAGACCTACTACACAGCTCACAGACGCAAAATTTTGGTACTCCGACCTTACAACAGTACTCCCATCACCCCCTTGAAATCAGCACACCTAAACCTCACAGCAGTACGCCAATATACCCTCACAACACATACAACATGCACACTGCACAACTCACACAGACATCAAACTTTTGTAGAATACCAGCTCGGCCCAAATCCAGCCAAAGCAAGCCAATCTATAACTCAATTCAATTCCCTTCATCTCGCGGCCCAACCCCACTCATCGCTTCAGCCAGCCTTTTGCACACATGCACCTCCCCTCTTCCTGCACCTCCTCACCTGCTCTCACCTCTTGCGACTCCCCATGCACCCACAACCCTCACCACTTCCTCCTCCGCCCTGACTTGTTCACACACTCACACACCTAATCCCCCTACTCATCCAACTGCACATAATTCGCAGGGAACAACCCACTCTGCCCATTGAAACTCCCCAACCACCAATCCTCATCCGGAAACTCCTATTACACCCATTAGCATCCACCTTTCACATCTGCACGGATTCTAGATCCCACTTACCACACCCGTAATCGTCGCACCCTCCGGAAAACTCAACTCATTATCCTCGGCGGCATCATAATCATACAGCGCCGTCGCCGTCGCGCCCTGCGCCTGCGCATGCTCACCGCCCGCCTGCGGCGCCGCAGCAGCCGGTTCCGGTTCCTCTTCCTCCGGTTCCTGCACATTCGGGTGCGTGGGGAGTGGAGGCGGCGCCTCACCCGCATCGTCGTCGTCGGCTACCAGCTCGACGTAGTTGGAGGGGAAGAGGCCCGTGTCGCCTTGCGTGTTCTGGCCCATCCACCAGTCGTCGTCCACCTGCTCGATGTTGGTGACGTATTCGCCCTCGCGCAGCTCGATCTCGTTGTCCTCGGCTTTCTCGTAGTCGTATTGGACGATGGCGCGCTGGCCACCGCCGCCGGATCCTGCGCCGGCAACTGCGGCACCGGCTGCAATGCCGACGCCACCTGCGACGGCTACACCTGCGACGGCTGCCGCGGCGGCACGAGCAGGGTCGTGCGACTGCACTTGCGGTTCTGGGGAGATGTCGCGCTGTTGCTGTACTGCCTTTTCGAGGGAGCGAGCAGGCATGGGCGGGGCTTGTTCCTCGGCAGGGGATAGTTCGTGGGGTTCGGGGCCACGAGCCACGGGCATGGCGATGCGGACAGGCGATCCTGAGGGCTCGGGAGATGGACTGCGAGGAACATGCGGCGGAGATGGAAGGCGTTGGTGCTGGACAGCTGGTATATCCTCCTCCTCTTGTTCGGGCTCCTTCGGTCGAGAGGGTAGGCCTGGGATCGGTACACCTCGCGCGCCAGCATTGGGCTTGCTCGACATGTCCATGGCCGGTGGAGACGGTGGAGCTGCGCGGCTTGTGGGAGCACCCATGGGTGCGGCACCAGCAAAGCGATCCTTTAAAGAACCAACGCCGCCTGCAGGCGGTGACGCCGGTTCCTCATGCTGAGGCTCCTCGCCGGTGCGCTGATTGCTGAGGTTGCTCGTGGCCGATTGCCCCGTCCGTGTAGTCTGGACAGGTGCCCATGATTTCCCGCTATAACCACTCTTCCAGCCTCCCTCCCCACTAGGTTGGGATTTAACTGGAGATGTGATTCCACCTGCAGCGGCGGGCGATTGGGGTCCTCCGCCTTGTGCGGCTTTCTTCTCGGCCCATATCTGCGCGGGTGTCTTGCCTCCTTGGTCTGCAAATGTCTTGCTCGCAGTCCCAACGGGAGCCGCAGGAGCGAGGGGTTTGGCACCAAAAACTGTGGGAGTTGGGGCTTTGGTGCCCGAGAAGGACCCTCCCCCACCAAACTTGTTCGCAACCTTGGGTTTCGGTAGGGAGGTAAGCCGCTCTGACTGATTGAAGGCTGCTGATCGTTCTGCAAGAGGCCTCGGCGACTCGTCATCGTTGCTGCGACCAGATCCCCCGGTGGCCGCTGGCGAGAGACCCGCAGAAGGAGACGGTCCTTGCGCCTTGGCTCGAATGGCGGCAATGTCGACCTTGCCAACCGGTTCGTAGGCGCCTTTGACAACAGTTGGTCGATCGTCTTGCTTGTTGTCTTTTGCCTGTGCCCGTAGAGCCGCAATGTCGACTTTGCCGATCGGCTGGTAACCGCCCCTCACTACATCCGGGGCCGAGCTTTGCGACTGAGAGGCCTGGAAGCGTGATGGCTCTTGCCGCTTCGAGGTAAGCTCCGCCATGTTGACCTTGGTGGGCTGGTATGCAGATTGCACCTTCTCAAGCTGCGTGCGCGTAACCTCCGGTGCATCGGTGCCCCAGCCATCTTTGTCGACGTTGCCGCTGCTCGGTGCGGGAGCTCTCGAGCGCCCACCGAGAGGATTGAAGCCAGAGCCACCACCGCCGACTTGTGTTGGAGTGAACACGGGCTTCTTCGCGGCGACGGGTGGCGGACCGCCTGAGGAGGGGATGGCTGGGCCGCCAGAGTACTTGGATCCAGAGGCATCGGCGACTTTCTGTACAATCTTCTCAGGAGTGAGGTCTGCGTCAGAGCGCGCGGTGACCTGGACGTGGTAGCCCTGGTGTATATTAGCACATCAGAGCAGTAATTGGCGGGCTGTGCGCACATGTAGCAGCTTTGAGACTACACCAAGATGGCTGCCAAAATAGCCTTTAGTCCTCTCCGGGACGCCCTCACCACACTATGCAGAGGTCAGCATAGCCAACTACATGATTCAAGGGAAGATGTACCCAAGCGATCAGCACACATTTGGGCAAGGTGGTGTTTGGGTCTTTGAGCTTGACGAATGCAAACTGGATCCGGCCGTCTGAGAACTCGTCTATCAGATCGACAATCTCGCCCTCTGCAATCCGTTAGAACCTGATACCCTTCCCGAGAAGACCATGGTGTCCCAGACATACCGCCGGTGCTCTGGACTTTCAGTACGCTCTCCTTTCCGCCGTCCTGCTGAAATGCGCTGACAAGCGGGGCAGCAACGGTGAAGACAGCCCATTGTGCAAAGGTGGGCGAGTTGGCCTGCGGTCCGGAAGGCGGCGGAGAGTTCACAATGTTCTGGTAGCTCCGCGTGATGTTCGGCCCATTGCTGGAGGTGTTGAGGCTCGCCATGTTTGGGGTTGGATAGGCGACCTGGTTTCGGGAGTGGGAAGGGTCGTCTAGGCGGGGTTGCTATGGGGAGAGAGGCAGCAGTCGGGTAGTGGAAGAATTGCAATAAATAAGCGATTGGGAAGCGAGCTTCGGCGCTCTTGAGGCTCGTCAGAAGAACGCGTATGCGAGCGTGGAGGTATGTCCGTATTCACAGCTCGGGCATCTACGAAGTACACACACACACACAGCCTGCGCCGGGGCCAAGCCCTTCGTCATCAAGGCTGCAGCTGCTGCTTTGGTTGCTGTGGTGTGCCGTACTCGCATAGTCGTATACTCTCACCATCACCGACCGTAACTTGGATGCCACTGGAACGCTGGAGGACCTCAGGATGTGGAAGTCTAACCAAATGATGTACTCCAAGAGTCTCTACCCCATGGTGTTCGCAGACGTCCGCAGTGCAAGGTCTTCTCCACTAGGTCCGTTACGGACATACAGTACTACCGTCTAGCCTCTTCTCCCTCCACCCACTTTACTCTGCTGTGTCAGTGTGCGCTGCTGGCACTGCTTCATAGGCCTGCGTGAGAAAATGTATGCTCGATACCCTGACGCAACACCGTCTGTGGAGGAGGGCGTTATGGCCCTGTGTTGCTGGCAGCGGACTGCAGCAGCCCTCATTGGTCAACCGTCTTTCGCCCGCCTCACTCTGAGTATTGGCCCAGGATTGTCTGGGGTTGGACTTCGACATCACAACGCAGCATCGCTCAGCTCATCTACCCTTCACTTCGCGCCCTGTCATGCCATCCACCCTCCTCGTGCACATTACATACCCTCGCCGTCCACAATAGCTTCCTCTTGCTAGTCTTCCACGGCCCCTCAGCAGTAGCCAGTTGTCCACATCCCGCACGTCGCATCGAATCGCCCCGTCTCTCGTCACCTACCCACTCTGACCATCCGCCCGCCCATGTCTTCAGCCTGTCGCGTGCGTTTGGCGGAGCTCCTGTGAGCTTCGCGGGGTGCGTGCGGAGGCACCATGGAGGAGCGCGAAGCGAGCGTTGCTTCGTCTACAGACTTCTACGAGTCAGACAAGAAGCCGGACACGCCTGCCGGGGACTCTCGAGATGATGCTCTCCTCCTCAAGCGCAAGGCTGACGACCTCGAGTCGCCCCAGCACAAGAGGCCAAAGCTCGACTCTCCGGCACCTTGCCTACCAGACCTCAAGGCGTGTGCTGGGCTC